CCTTGTGACTTTTCTGCACAATAATTCCCCCCAAAAAAGGAGAACAATTAAAAACTCCAAAATAAACCAATGTACAATATAGCGCCTCAGATCCAAGAGTGTGTTGAAGAAAAAAAAACATTTTTTTTTTTTTATTTCAGTCACCAGGAGACCAAGTGCATATAACACTTGGTCCCATTGAAATCCATCCTACAGTTGCCAAGCAGTGTGGTCGGAGAGTTGACCCACCTCTGTCTATCCACGCTGCTGGCAAGGAAACAAAGTTTTGAGTGACTGCACTGGTCTCTGCCAGCAGAGGACACTAGGGAGACCAGAGCCGCCATTCATAAGAGATTGGTCTGCGCTGCAGGCTTGGATCCATCTTCTGGGGCTGTGTATTTCCATGCAGCCTCAACAAATAGATCACATAGCCCTGCAGTACTGAGTGATCCTATATGAATGAACAACCAGCTCTGTCGGGGCCAGGACAGTGTATGACACCGCACTGAGCAATAATTAATAAAAGATTCAGTGCTATGTGATCTATTTGCCCAGGCTGCTTGTAAATGCACAGAACCAACAGATAGATCACATAGCTCTGCAGCACTGAGGGCTATGTGATATATTTGCTGCTGCCCTGTATGTTTACTAGCAATCAGAAACTCTATTACAGAGCCCTGTAGTGCTGATTGTTCATTTATAATAGTAAACAAACAGTCAACTAAGAGAGGGGGTGGGGCCTCCGTACTGGCTGAATCCCCCCCCCCCCCACACACACAAATGTTTTTGGGATTTTGGTTGAATCTGATATTTGGTTTTCAGAGTTATTTACATTCACAATTAATGTAAAAAAACAGCACAACCTTTAGGTCTGGTAGAAATTGTAGGGGGGACCCCAAAGCCAGAAATCAAACAAAGTGTGGGGTCCCCCTACAATCCCTTACCAGACTAAACCAGCACCATAACAGGCCACATGCCCTCAACATGGGAAGGGTGCTTGGGGAGGCATTGCAAAGCACCTTGTCTCCACAACCCTGGCCCAGTGGTTGTGGGGGTCTGCGGGCGAGGGGGCTTATCTGAATCTGGGTGCCCCCTTTCATAAAGATGCTGCATCCCCTTGTGAATGAGTAAGGAGTAATTTTGCCCCTACTCATTCACTAAATATGCAGTAAAATACTAAATAAACAAACCACACCGGTTTGTAAAGTCCTTTATTAGTAAAAAAAAAAAACGTTTTTGACAAGTCCTTATATAAAAAAAAGTTCCACAATGTAAATACATTGTCAATCACGTCATCCGGCGATGTAGATCCTTGTCAATCATGATGTCCACCACTTGATGAAAGAAAAATCCCCACCACCACATCCGAACCCGACAAACTCTTGCTGCAAGTGAGAGCTTTGCTCCTGAATCTAAACAAAGGAGTGGAGCAAGATGTGATGTCATGGGACTTGGCCCACCCCTTGGTTTACATTCCACGACAGCTCAGTCCCCTAACAGAATGTAATCAAATGGGCGGATCATGTCTTGTGATGCCATGACTTGCTTCGCCCTTTTGTTTACATTCAGGAGCAGAGCTGTTACCTGCAGCAAGAGTTCGTCATGTTCAGGCATGGTGGCAGGGATTTTTCTTTAATTGAGTGGCAGGCATCTTGATTGACAAGGATCTATATCACTGGATGGCGTGATTGACGACCGATTAACATCGTAGGACTTTTTTGAAGGACTTGTCAAAAACAGTTTATTTACTTGCCGGTAGGGTGTGTTTATTTAGTATTTTACTGAGCATTTTGTAAAGGAGTAGGGGTACAATTACTCATTCACAAGGGGAGGTGGCATTTGGGTGTCCTTTTATGAAAGGGAGCACCAAGATTTAGATAAGCCCCCTTGCCCGCAGACCCCCCACAACCACTGGGCCAGGGTTGTGAGGAAGAGGCCCTTGTCCTCATCAGCATGTGGACAAGGAGCTTTGCCAGGGGGTCTCCCCCTTGCGAAGCACCCTCCCCATGTTGAGGGCATGTGACCTGATATGGTGCAGGAAGAGGGAGCACATGATCTCCCCCCCTTTCCTGCTCTGCCAGGCCATTGTTTAGATCAAGGGTCTGATAAGGGATTTCAGGTGGGGCACACTTTTTGGGGGGCATTGTGGTCCACCCTAACATTTCTACCAGACCTAATAGGTCTGGTATGAATTTTGAGCGGGGCCCACACTTTTGTTTTTTGGATTGTCTAACACCTTTCAGTTTATTTCCGAAAACTGGGATGCATCCAAATTTTTCATACCCCAAAATTCGTATTCATTTGATTTAATTTTTTTTGTCCCATTTGGATGCATCCAAATTTATGAATATGCCGATATTCGTCCAAATTTCAATTCTTAACAAAACGAACCACACATGTCTGCCAAGTACTATATGCATTTGGTTCCCTGGAAGATAATGTACACATTTAATAATAAAAAAAAGAGAATACATGCTCATGGGAATAAAGAGAACATGTGCTCTCTTAACATACAATACTTTCATGAACTGAATATTTTACCCTTTTTTGGCCATAACCATATCCATATGCTGTATAAGATGTACAGGATACCTAAAGAAAACAATGCCTGTTGCCTTAAAACCATACAGAAATCTACCATGTGGTTGAGATCCTTTAACCTTCCTGGCGGTATTCCCGAGTGTAGCTCGGGGTTACTTTTCCATACCATACACTGCGCTCGCGAATGCCACATAGCCTTACTTACCTTGTCCCTCGAGCCGCGCTGTGTTCTCCGGCCGGCATCCGTCTTCTGGGTTCTGTCCCTTGCGAGCGTACGCGTCGCAGGGGGGCGGAATCGGCGGGATATTAAAGAAAAAAATAGACCGAAAAAATAAAATCATACCGCCAGGGAGGTTAACATTGGTATTTTATTTTTATTTTTTCGAAACATAGACGTCTGCCTTTTTTTTTTTATCCCATTCAGGAAGCACAAAATGAATGTTCCCAAGTCAAATTATAGGTTTAAAATTCAAATTGTCCTACTGGCAAACTGGGTTCTCTGGAAGCTGTCATACTGAGAACATAATAGGCACTGTATATGTCTACGAACAGATTTGTAGTCTTCATAGTAGAAAACACATCTAAGTTACAGGTATAGCCACTGCAGCCAAGGCCCACATAGACATATGACTGCTGCTGCTGTGCCTATTAGTGTCATTCTGTTACTAGACACAACATCTTTCATTGAAACGATACCAGAGCAAAGGCAATGGGCGCCATTTCTCCCATGTGTCCAGTGAATTGACACATATTCTTCTCTCGCAATCCCCATCAAGTTCTTCGACCCCCGTCAGTGTGCCTGCT